GGGTCCTGCAATAGGTCGGCCTTCTCAAGCATCCTTGCCCAAGGCAAGGTGAGGTAGTCCGTTCTCGGCCGAACCGTGCGGCGGCGCTTGGGTCGCGGTGCTTCGTCGTCCTCTTCATCTTCCTCCCGGTGCAATTGTCGCAGCAACGCGACCAGAAGCTGCTGTTGATGATGCAGCGCACCAAGCGCCAACGAGAGCACGGTCAACACCGCCCTCAACTCTACGAGGCGCACCATAGCCAGCAGCACGTCTGCGCGTGCGGTGCGATCACCCAAGGCTCTCGATTCAAAACGCGGCGGCCATACGCCCACTTTTTCACGAACCCCCCGGGATTCCTGCTAGGAATTTGTGGTCGCCCGAGTTGGAATCCGGCCCGGATTCCAACTCGACTTGGCTGGAATTCCTCGAATTGGAATTTTTCGGGATTCCAACGTCCCCATAATTTAGGNAAATCCCGGGGGTTCGCGGAAAATAATGTCAAGGGGTCCCACCAAATTTTCCCCGAATTCCTGTTCCATAACAATTGGCCTTAGGGTCCCAATAACATCGAACGTTAACGGCAATCGTTTTGCTTCTTGCTGATTAGGAGGCTACCCGTGTACCCGGCTGCTGCATGTGAGGCGATGGGCGCCGCCTCTTTCCGTCAAGCAATGCGCATGGCCCCTACGGTTCAAGGCACATGCAGTGTTGTGTGACAGCTTCCAGCGGTTCAGTGCGGCGATGGTGGTTTTTCGCCGGTGGGGCCCCAGAACAACGCGAACCGCGACTGTGTCATTGTTTTGGGGTCCCCCACTCACCCATACATGAATTTCAGCAGTTTTCGCTGGGGGGATTTTTTTCTTGTCGTGTCCATGACGTGGTGCCCCGAGCGAGTATGGTTCCATAGGGAATCGCAAACCATGACCCCTCCTCGAGTTTGAGCATCACCTTCGGCCTCCTGTGGCGGACAAGCAAACCGGAAATTGTCTCGCCATCCAAACAACAGTTGGCCAGTTGAAGAAAGAGGGTCCGGTCCGCCGAAGATTTTGTTGTTTTGTGTTTCCCTGCCGACTAACAACCTCGGCTACGGCAGTACAAATCTCATGGCGCCTCAAGTACGGTTCCGGTAGGGAATTGGAAATCACGACCCCTCTCCGACTTTGAGTAGCATCCATCTCCTGCGGCGAATAAGACCGACGTTAAACCCTAAATTGTGTCCGTCTGTGTCGCCATGTCGTCATCCACGAACAGCAGTTGGAGAGTAACAAAAAAAGGGGTCCGCTTCGTCACCAAGAAAACAGTCTTTTTTCGATTCTTCTGTATCATGCTACGATGTATGTATCGCGTATTGTCGTGGTTGAGCTTGAGGGATAGGGTCTACTTCAGCATGTTCTACGAGGAGTTAACGCCTTCCTCACGCAACGATGCGCATCTCCCACGGCAACCAGAATGACGTTACTTATTTCTTGTGACTACAAGTTCAAGTTCGCCCGGGCGTTACTGTTCTTGCCGAGTGAAAGAGACTAAGGCTGATTCTTATCGATCCGGTTTTTTTTTTCACCGAATCGTAATTTTTAACACGGAACCGATTCCGGGTTTTCCATTGGTTCTAATCGGCAGAGGCGCGCCTTTTTTTCAAAATCCCGGAAAGCGTCGATGCCGACGTACACACACCGGTCACGACCAGGCGAGAGGCCCGAGGCATACCACAGCAGACGCGATAAACCCACACCATGAACAACAACGCCGTAGCAGCGGCAGGCCGGCCATCTAGAGCGAAATCGTTGCCTCTGAGACTGCAGGATGCTGGTGAAAGTGGTGCTGCTGCTGGGCATGGGGTCGCCCAGGCCGCGCCTGCTGGCGCGGCACAGCGGGCACCGAGCGGCATGGCCCGCCAGGCCGTTCACAGTAGGGTTACCCCCCATACTGGTACACAACAGGGGTTCCACCTGGCGCGGTGATGATGCCGGGCTTCTCGGACGACGCTGATCGGCAAGCTCGTCAGGCGGCCTTAGTAAAGGTTCTCAACGACAAGCGATTTGGCGACGCCCCACAAAAAAATTGGACCGAGTCGGAGAGCGGCGACGACGACGACGAGGGGGGGGACAGCCCGACGTCAAGTGGCAGCAGCAATGCGTCGGTAGAGGACAGTTCAGCTCCGTCGGACATTGGCTCACAGTCGGGAGATGTCGTGTTCGAAAAGGAAATTCGGGAAGCAATGACCGGGGGAGGGGGAGCGGGCACGAGGACCACAAACCACGGCAAGCGAAAGGCGAGCGCCGGCGGCAGCGTCGTAGGGAAGAACAAAGCAGCAGCATCCCACCACGCGAGTGCCAAAGAAGCCCGGGGCAAGGACTACCCGCACTGGGCCACACACGTTCTGAAGCGGACATGCGCGCACCTTAAGATCCCGAGGATGTCGCAGAAGAGCAAGGGTGTCCTGGTGGCGGCCCGCGATCTCTCGACGCCAACATGAAACGGCCATCTCCGTACTCGACGACCTCGATGCTATCGCAGCCGGTGAGATGCTGGTATTGTGTAGATTCGTCGTCGATTAGAGTCCCAGCAGACGACACAGAGTATCGACAAAATATAGGTAGTCACTCTGCAATTGAACGCAGTGTGCGCAGAGGAAACAAAACAAAACAAATCAACCTATATGTACAGTAGCAGGTATACGGCATGCTCGAGAGCTGTTTTATTTGCCCCAGTAGGTAGGATATTGAAGGCACACAACGTACCACACGGCATGCTTTCTTGACGATATTCAATCGGTGGTGCACCGACCAATACGGTAAATCTTTGGTGTTCTGTCCTCTCACGCCCAGAGGAAGTAAGGTAAGGTGAACGATGCATTGTGGAGGACAGTCATTAGGAATATGCAGTTTTGCCAAACTTGGGCGTGTACACCTGAGACTTCCTCTCATGCGAAGGCGTATTCATTGTCTGGGCCGCTTTCTCATATCNTCAGTGTGGCGGACCTTTACGACGTCATGGAGAAGGAAGACAAACCGGAACTGGAGGATTCTGCCGGCGGAAGTTCGTCGACGGGTGGTGCAGCCGGACCGGACGGGGGTGGTTCCGCCGGAGGGAGTGGCAGCATCACGGAGCGCAAGGGCCCACACTGCATGATGCGGCTCGTTGGGATCCTGTGCGAAGACTCCATCCGCCCACTTGTCATCAACAGCCGCTTGCAGGCGACCCGGCAGGAGCTGGACACCTCAGCAGTTGGGCCGCGGAAACATTTGTGGACAGAGGTCACCGACCGCTTCCGAGACCCTCGCCACCATGTGCGTGCTGGGGGTAGGGGGTTGATTAGCACGGATCGGACGAGAACGTTGTACAAAAACAGCAGTCGAAGTGTATGTTGACAACACATGCCGTTTATTGATAGTTGTTTTTAGGCATGGTACTCAACACCTCATAACGTCCACGGACGATCGCGCCATCGTTTTAGGTAAAATGCCATTAGGTATCCAACCCCAAGAGCGGGTCAACCTGCTGTTGACGTCTACCGGTGAATTACGTAGTTGTTGCTGACGCCGACGACCATACTGCTGTAGATACTGCTGTAGTTGCTTCGTTGCCTATTATAGTGAAAGACGTTGAAAACGCGCTGAAATTTTTCAAAAGAATGCAATGATAGCCAGACAATATTTTCTGCCAGAAGTAAATAATAGGCCGGGAACAGACCGACATTGGGCCTTCCCGCAAGAGAGGTGCATTCCCCCCGTTCTTTTTTTTTTCGTATCGAAATCGAGTTCAATTTCTCGCACGTCCGGGGGGCGTCATCTTTGTAGGTAGGTA